TTCACCCCTTCCTGAGACATCACTTCCACCTTTTCGCTGGGCTAACTCTCATTCATCCCTGAAAACTGAGTTCAGGGTGTTAAGTCAGAGGGCCACGGATGACGGGCTCCTTAGCTGCTGCAAGCGATCGCTGCGTGCACGTTAGAAAAAGGTGCCCTTGTTTTCTAGCCTGCTAGCTGCTGGGGGGAAAGTGTTGTAATAATTATTGGATGAACATGTACAGCGGTTCCAAGGTGACTGGCATGTGTTGGAGTTGTGTGCCATGCATCCTGCCCAGCCAGAGCAGAGGCCCTGTCTTAAATGTTCGCTGTCGGTGGTCTCATGATACCCCCTGCTTATTTGTATGTGTCCATCTCTCACACTAGACTCTCAAGACCGATACTAATCCAAGCGCCTAACACGCGGATTATCTGTTCTGTCAGATAATCAAGCATTCATTGAATGTCTAATAACATCTTTCAAATCCAATGTTAATTGCTCATTTGTCTGCGTTCTTCACTAGTCTGCAGGCTTCCTAAGAACAGAAACACTTACCTTTTTTATCTCCAGTGTCTGACTCAGTAGGTGCTCAATAAATCTTGATTGAAGGGATGAGTGAATGAACGAATGAATGAATGGAGCAAGCTCTGAAGGCTCTGATTAATTCAATTCCAAGTGCAGCTGGGGGAAACAGGAAACTCAGACCCAGGAAACACTGAGTAGTTTCTTTCTTTTTTTAAATGCTATTTATTTTGAGAGGGAGGGAGAAAGCATGAGAGAGCGTGAGCGGGGAAGAGCGGACGGAGAATCCCAAGCAGGCTCTACGTTGTCAGTGCGGAGCCCTATACGGGGCTCAGACTCACGAAGCTCGAACTCGCGAATTGAACCGTGAGATCATGACCCGAGTCGGACACTTAACACACTGAGCCAGCCAAGCGCCCCACACCAAGTATTTCCTAACGCAGATCCTCAAAGCCATTGCACGAGCTTGACTGCTATTGGGCCCGAGTCTAAAATCCCCAGATGGCAGGGACGCGATGGCTCAGCTGTTTCCTCACTTAAACCCTATTGCCTCTTGTTACTACCAGGTGTTCTCCCTAATGGTATTCAGCTAATAATAGTAATAATAATAGTGTCTGACACATGTAATTTAACAGATGTCAGGAATGCTTGTAAGCACTTTACGTATGTTAATTCATTTCATCTTCTAAACAACTCTGAATCAGATACTATTGACACTCCCACTTTTCAGGTAAAGAAACTGGGTAGTTAAGTGACTTGTCACCCAAAAAGCTGAGGTTCTCACCTGGGCACTTGGGCTCCAACATCCATGGCTAGCTAACTGCTATTCAATAGCCAGGTCTCCAGAGAACCCCCTTCAAAACGAGAAAGCTATAATTTGGAATCCTACCCTGTGTTTCCATTGGGTTCTAACCTCTCCTTCTTCAGAAAACCTTTCCAGAGCTGCTGGGTTCTGTCTTTCATTCTCATAGATCCTACTGAATGAGAGGGTTCTCAGCCCCCTTAGCCTTTGGTAATTGGCTCAAGATAATTATCACCATCTAAAACTGAGAGGGGAGTTTTGTTCCATCACTGCCTGAGCCCTGTTCCCAGTGCTACCTCCAGCTGCCATTCCAGTGTGCCACGCTTCAACATGCTGGAAGAAGGCAAGTAAATTGACTCTGCGGTGGCCTCTCTTTACTGGGTTGGCCAAATGGAGAAATCTCTCCATAACCAAAGCGGAGTCCCTGGGTGTCCCTTCCAAATCACAGAATCGGGAAATAGCATCCATCTAGTGCCTGAGTCTGTAGTAGAATCTTTTCTTTCCCAAGAGAAAGGACACAGGGCTCGATGTAAGATAGGCTCTACCCTCAGTACAGCTCCTCAGGTACCCACAGTGACAATGGAAACCAATTACCAGCCACACCTTCCTTCATCTACCCTTTGGTTTCGCCTCTAATAATGTTCTGTAGCCAGCCAGGACTAATTTTAACTCTTGGTGTCTTCTACTTAGAGGAGCTTTTTCAGAAGTTTTCCTGGTGAAGCAAAGGATGACTGGGAAGCTCTTTGCCCTGAAGTGCATCAAGAAGTCACCTGCCTTCCGGGACAGCAGCCTGGAGAATGAGATTGCCGTGTTGAAAAAGTGAGTGGGTCTTAGGGTTGGTCGGGTACAACTGTGAGATCATAACATTTCCTTCACAAATTACCTTTGAGTAGGACTGAAGATGGATTTCCACACCCAAAGGCATTACTTACTCCCCTTGATTGCATTAATGTGTCCATTGGATCAATCGGCCAAGTTAAGCCAGGCAGGTGCTTCTGCTGATTGGGGGGTGGTTGTGGGGGGCAGCAAACTGACTAGCAAACCAACTGATAGCAGACCTGGTTTGTGCACATAGACCAGAGAATAATTAGCTCAATGGAACAAAAATCAACTAGGGCCAATAGCAGGAAGAATCAGTAATTAAGGAAGCAGAAGATTTAGAAATTGGTTTGACTTTATTCCAAAGCAAACATAGGCTCAGCACCCCAGCCATCATGGTAGAGGCCACACTAACAAACCATCTGACTGTTTACAGCAGGACCCAAACAAAAAAGCCTTGTGGAATCCCCATGGTATGCCAAAAGTGTATTAGGCATTAGGAACACAAGAATAAGGCCTACAAAATTCCTTATCCTCAGAAGCTCACATTTTCTGGGCAGAGACAGGTGCCCATAACAAACTCTAATCCCATTAGACATGAGCCAATAGTAGCAGAAGGCAAGGCTTGAAAAATACAGAGATTCATTTTGCCCCTACATGTGCATTTTTATGAGTATGGGGTATTAGGTACATTTTTAAGGAAGAGGCACCTTGATAGGTGAGTAGGATTTAATGGAGACAGGAGAGGCAATGCAGAAAGGGAATTCAGGCTGAGAGTAACAGAAACTCAACTGTGTAAGTGCAACGGACGTTAGGAAAGAGTCGGTGTTAGAAGCCCCTGAGCTTAGAGTAAGGATCATCAAGGGACAGGAGATGAAATAAAATGAGATCTGATTATAAAGGGTCTTGGCTACCATGGTAAAGAATGTTGACTTTTTTCCGTGGGCAAAGAAAAGTCATCAAAGAATTTTTAGTAAGGAATCACATGATCAGACTTATATTTTAGAGCCATGCCTCTTAAGCATGGTGGAAGATGGATTTAAGACTTTCTCAATAATCTAGACAATGGGTGAGGATACAAGCAAAGGTAATAGCAGGATCATGTGGCAGCAAGAAGACTGGATTCAAGAGAGAGAGTGATTGGGCTTGGGATCGACTGCTTCGAGTATAAAAGAGAAAAGTACTAAAAATGATGCTGAGATTGAGCGATTTGGTGGATGGTAATGTCATTGCTTGGATAGAGAACAAAAGGGATGTGTAGGCTTGAAGGAAATAGAAAGAAATTTGTTGGAACATATTGAATACGTGTATCCCCCAATCTCTACATGGAGGGTGCTGGAGATACCAGTTTGGACTCCAGAGAGATTAGAACAGAGATGGACTGTGGACTCATTGAGAGCAAGGACTATGGTGGTCTTTCTTACCATTGTATTGTATCATCAGTCCCTAAACAGCATAGATGCTTGGTAAAGATTTGTTCAGTAAATGATATATTAATGTTAGTATTGTCAACTTGTAAGTGTAATTGAATCCATCAGGTACCCACTGCAGTTGGTCTATAATTTTAGAAATTAAACTTAAAGATGTTTAGATACTGTTTATTATGTGTTTACTATTCCCCAGGCACTATACTAAGCATTTTGCATGCATTATCTCTTTTAATCCTGATATAACCCTATGAGAGAGATGTACTTTACAAACCAAAAAAGTGGGGCTTAGAAGATTTAAGAAAACCAGCGAGTCATCCATTTCATAAGTATCTCATCCAGATCTGAACTCAAACCCAACTGACTCAGAGTCCAAATTCTTAACCCCTATGCTACCCAGCCATGAACCAAACTTCCTAGAAAGGTTCTTCCTATGCACAGAATTGCTGCCCGGGAAGCCAAGCCCCATGGCAAGTATGATTATTCTGCTTGCCTTGGCCCTTGAGTAATCCCATTCAGAGAGAACCTAGAGCAAATTTTCCTGAACACAGCATTACTGGCATTTTAGACCAGATAATTGTTTATTGGGGTGGTGGGGTGGTGGACTGTGCATTATGGGATATTGACCGGCATTCCTGCCTCTGTCCGTTAGATACCAGTAGCTCTTACCCCCTCCCGAGGCACAATAACAAAAAATGTCTCTAGTTATTGTCAAATATTCCCCCAGGGACAAAAGAGCCGCTGGTTGAGAATTACTATCAGCAACAAAGACATTCCACAGAACTGACCCCAGAAAATAGCATCTTCCCGGCTTCTCAAAATATTCCGGAATAAGAATTTTGCAACACTACTTCCGTGGTTACCCATGAGGAGGCTTAACTAACCCGATTCTCTTCTGCTGCAGTCCACTTTCTTCGAGGATGTTTCTGGATACCCATTTTGTAAAATAATCTAGTTTCGGGTGTTCCCTTGGCCTTCTTCAGGTATTTTAACTTTCTCTTTTGGCAAAGTTTAAAGAGATTTCTGGAGTAGTCACAAAATATTGGTTCCCTGAAGGCAGAATGATCAATTATCCATTCAAAAATATGGATTGAACACCACTCTGGGATCTTTAAGATTTCTTTGTGACCACCTATTTATTAGGAAGGTTTCACAAGGATCCACTCTTCCTAAATATTGTCATCAAAGTCTCTAACAGAAATAAAAAAGTCCATTCTTTGTCTGGACACCTAAGCCACGTACCATGACCCTTCCTTTTCCCCAGGATCAAGCATGAAAACATCGTGACCCTGGAGGACATCTATGAGAGCACCACTCACTACTACCTGGTCATGCAGCTGTAAGTGAAAGGTGACCCACTTCCTCTACAGACGTCTCTGGGGGCCTGGGAGGCCTAGAGGAAGCTGCTCGGTGGTGAGGGGAGTACGGTGATTTAAAAGATGAGATCAAGAATTAGTTCAAGAGGCTCTCAAATGCTAAGATTTCTCTCAGGTTAAGTATGCCTCTGGTCATGAACATGTTCTGTGTGGACCGAAGGGTAGAACTAGGACTGATTATTGAGATGGTCTGTACCACGACAGCCTTACCGATCGTTAAAATATTTTTTTAACGTTTCTTTATTTTTGAGAGAGAGAGAGAGACAGAGCGCAAACAGGGGAGAGGCAGAGAGAGAGACAGACACAGAATCTGAAGCAGGCTCCAGGCTCCGAGCTGTCAGCACAGAGCCCAACATGGGGCTTTAACCCATGAACTGCGAGATCATGACCTGAGCTGAAGTCAGATGCTCAACTGACTGAGCCATCCAGGTGCCCCTAAAGTATTTGCTACAAGTCAGCTAAACGACCCCGGCAGCAGCTGTGACTCCAACCCATCCATCCTCCCCTGTGCCCCAGCCACTCCCCTCAGACTTTCTGGACCTCCCCACAATGCTACAGTTGAAGGGATAATGACTGGCATAGCAGGGAACCTTCCAGAACCCTTCTCGGGCGCCACGGCTTGAGTCCATTTTGACCAGTCAGTCCATCAAACTAACGTTAAATACTTTAATGCCACTCTAGGGTAAAATTACTGTGGGATTAGAAACCACACGACACAGATTTCAATTTGATACATAAAAAAGATTTTCTCAAAAGAGATCCATCCAAAGTTAAAAACAGGCTGTGACTGTGTGTGTCCATCTGTGGGACAGAAATGGTGCCTCCCTAGAAAGGTCTCCACATCATTGTCATATATAAATAGGAGTTCTGTCTGAGACTGAATGCTGTAGGAGTTGGTCGGTGCTCCTACAAGTGCTCAGCCTTGGACTCAGAGAAACTTCTATTTATAAAGTACACACACACACACACACACACACACACACACACACACACCACTCTGCTATCTCTATGGCTAGATGCAATATTTTTGACTAACAGGCTGATTCCTCAGAAACTTTAATGAGTTGATTCAGGCCTAAGCAGCCTATTAACTCCAAGGCTCACCTGAGGCCCAGTGAATAGAGGGAGCAGGTGGTCAAGGGAGTGAGGTTGGGGATAGGGGTGCAGAACAGCATTAACAAATGAGCAGGGACCATGTGGCACCTTAATGAGGCCAATTCAACAGGATTAGCACACATTTAGATAGCCAGCTAAGGGGAGGCAGGGAAGCGGGCAGATTCAGATATCACCGAAGAGTGGAAAGCCTATGAGGGTGCCAGCTCTAGGACCCAGGCCACCCCGTGTCAGGAATTGCTAGTTGTGCATAGAGACTGTCTTTCTCATGGGCCTCTAGATCCTATGGCAGAGCCCAGAGCTTCAGGACAGAAACAAAAGGAGTAGGGCGGTGTGCATCTTGATTAGAGAAATTCTCCTTCTTCATCACTGCATGGTCCTATGATGTGTGCACGTCCGCATCCGGTGTCATGGAACAGTGACAAGGGGGCAAGGACTGTGAAAGAGTTGGAAACCCTGGCCCATGAAATGTTTATCCCAGGGAAGGCCTCAGGTGAGCATTTCACTGTCTTCACATACTTGAAGAGATCCACGTGAAAGGGTGGTATTCTTGCTCTGCGTGGCCCCAGTGGGTAGAAGGGCTATCTGCTGGTGGAAACTACAGGGAGTGGGTTCCGTCGTAATATACAGAAATATTAAGAAGGCGGTGAAAGATAAAACAGTCTGTCTTAGGGGTAGTGAGTTGTCTGCCTCAGGACGAGCTAAGAAACTTCTTGGCAAAAATAGTGTAGATGGCATTCAAGAGATGGGGAGCAGAGTGGATCTGAAGCTCCCCTGAATCCTAAGATACCTTACCATTGGAGTCTCCAAGCAGCACTAGAACTCCACCCACAAGTTCGGCAGTCAGTAGCCCAGTTTTCCAGTGAGGACAGAAATCCTGACACGAGCACAATTTGTGTCACGTGTACACCTCATTCCTGTTTTGCCTCATTTCAATTTCACCTCTTCTTTCATCATGGCCCCTGTGTCCTCAGTCAGGAAAATAGGCAGCTAAGCGTGTGTCCACTAAGGGATTATTGGCTTCTTGCTTAACTCTAACGAGGGGCATTTTGCACTTCAAAGAAGTGTCTAGGGAGAGGGAAATGGTTGGCCCAAAGAAATGACTCGCTCGTGATATCATTCCACCACCCAAAGGAGGTATTCTCAAACTAAGGTAGACCTCCCTACCTAGGCCGTGGGCACCCACCCGTTCTGCCACTGCTGTGTCTTCATAGCTACAGAGTAAATGCACTTATGTCCCTTTGACCTGGAATAAGACCTGGATTCCTGCGCTTGCCCCTATGCCCACAGTGTTTCTGGCGGGGAACTCTTTGACCGGATCCTGGAGCGGGGTGTCTACACCGAGAAGGATGCCAGCCTGGTGATCCAGCAGGTCTTGTCAGCAGTGAAATACCTCCACGAGAATGGCATCGTCCACAGAGACTTGAAGGTGCCCGAGTGGGAGTCCTCAACGGGAAATAGAATGACCCTTCGGGAAGCTGCATGGGTCATGGGCAGCCTAAGCTGTGTAAAATGAGAGGGTTGGACCAACCTCATCATTTGTTGGGTCCCTTAAACAAATCTTGAATGACTGAACAATCATTGTTAATTTTCATCTCAGCCTCTTCCTGAACTTTGCCCTAGGCCTCACCCTATTAGGATACCAAGAGAATGCACATGTTTCTTGAACCTAGCCACACTCAAAATCAGAAGAAATAAATAGTAATTGGAGGCCAACATTGCATCAGGCACACACTAGACTTTAGAAAGGTCAGAGACAATTAACTATGGTTTGATTTCCTCAAAAAACAGTCTTAGGGTAGTTGGGGCTGAGGAGAGGGAGGGAGTAGTTCTTTAATGGCTACAAAGATGAGCAACCTGAGGGCCATAAGCAAAATACAGAGTGCTCAATATGGGGTGGGGAGCTGCAGCTAGGAGGAAGGAGGGAAGAACTGGGGGACATGAGCCTGTCCTTGAAGTCAGGAGCCCAGAGCGTAGCTTCCTAAGAAATTCTCTATCAGGGGAGGAAAATAAATATGTATTTCAGATGATTATATCCTACACTGCATGGTATTGCTCTTCTCCCACAGCCTGAAAACCTGCTGTACCTAACCCCTGAAGAGAATTCTAAGATCATGATCACAGACTTTGGTCTGTCCAAGATGGAACAGAGTGGAGTCATGTCCACTGCCTGTGGGACCCCGGGCTATGTGGGTGAGTCTGGGGACAGGAGGAAGGTTAACCAGTTGGCTGCATTCAACCTCATGGATATTACTTAACAGAGAGGGGTGGTTATAAGGAGACAGGGTTCAACTTCAGGGGCAATCCCAGGAGAGCATTCATTATGAGGCTTAGGGTAAATCCATGTATGTCTGGAACTACCCCTACTGCTCCCAAACCCTACATCTTTCAAGACAGCCTACCCCTGAACTCTTCCAACAGCCCCTGCCTATACTTGCCTCTCATTATTTTGGCTAACTTCCTGCCTTTGTCTCTCCAGCTAAACCAGGGGCAGAGACAAGATCACAAACCCAGAGATCGTTAGATTGCCAAGGGTTTGACCACTAGCCACCCCTTTTCCTTTTTCCCACTTCCACAGGAGACTACAACCCACCAGTTGGTGGTATCCCAGAGGCATAGTGTTGAGTTTGAAGCCGAGGAACTCAGGCATGCATGCTCCCGCCCAAACGTATCCCCAAGAAAACATCCCAGGAAACTGGCAGAGGCGGGACTTCCTGCCTAAACAACAGGCTTTCAAGGCCCCCCAAAAAGTAAGGCAGGCAAGTTACCAGGTGAAAGCATCCCCAAAATTCATGGGGAGAAAGCCAAAACTCAGAATGTCCACTCCTGCCCCTTCCCTCTTCACCACTCATCACCTGGTTGAGGACGGTAGTAGGAAGGAGAACTCTAACTTAAGAGGAAATCTGCTCTCACCCCCAAAGAGAGGTCAGTTAGTAGGTACTGAGTCCCAATGAGTACAAATCCCTGGGATCTGGGATAAATACAGAAAGTAGCCCTCTACTGCTCCCATTCAGAGGAAGACCTGGCTCATTTTCTCATGGAGCTCTCAGTCTGATACGGATAACTAAGCCTTGCCCTCAGAAGGTACCAGAGACAGATGGAGCAGTTATCACCTGCCCTCTAAGAGTTCCTCATTTTAAGAGGGATGACTCAGTTTCTGCCCCCAGGGAGATCCCAGTCTAGTGGGAGAGAGATTGCCCCTACTTGGCAGATGTCCCCATCAGAACACAGACACACAACCCCAGCCCTGGGCTAACCCATCTGTGTGGGGAGACATAGACCTACATCTGATGGGGGCAAGGTAGCCCTGGAGATTCCCAGTCTGATGTAAGAGCCATAGGCCCTGTCATGGGGACCTTCCGGGTTGATGGAGGAAGATTCAGTCAGATGGGAGAGACACCATCCCCGCCCTAGGAAAAGTTTCAGTGATACAGAAACACTGCCATCCCAGGAGCTTTCCTAGTCCTCTTCTCTAAGCCTCATCCTGACCTTCAGCCATCACCCCTCAGCCCTCTCTTCTTGTCCCAGCCTTGACTCTGCCTTTGGTTTGTTGTAGCTCCGGAAGTGTTGGCACAGAAGCCCTACAGCAAGGCTGTGGATTGCTGGTCTATTGGCGTCATCACTTACATATTGTGAGTAGAAGCTGTCATTGGCTCAGTTCCTGGGAAATCTCACAACCTGCTCATCCTTTTTCTCCCCTCCCCTATTTTAGCTCCTCAAGCAACATCCACCTCCAAAGCATGTGTATGTACACGTGTGCATGTGCGAGTGCTTGCATGCATGTGTGTGCACGCACACACACACACACACACACACACACACACACACGCTTACTCATGCACACAGCTCCAAAGGTTTCTGTCCTGGTCTCCACCAGATTATAAAAACAGAGCTCAGTGTGAACCCACTGTTGAGCCATATGGTACTCTCTGTTCCTGCACCCCACCCCCATTTACTCTATATAAATGTGTTGAGTCCCGCTCTATGGAATGAGCAATGGAAAAAGGGGAGGCCAAGCCAAGCTTGGAAGTCAAGTGGGTACAATGTTCACATCTCAAATTTCACTCCTGGCAAGTCAGCCCAAAGCAAAATGATGGCCCGAATGAATCTGGTCATTGTTCCTCTTCACATATTCTTGGGCTCTCCTTTACTAACCTACTCATCACCCCTTCCCCACCATTCCTCTTCATCTATAGCAGACTCTGCTGTTAGGAAAATAACCTGTCATTTACCCCTTAGTGTGGATTCAGTTCTCTATTTCCTAAGCTTATGTTGAGTAACTACTGTCACTCATTCACTTAACAAATATTCATTGATTGGCTATTCTGTGCTAATAGCCTAAATAATCCCTCAGGAAACTTACATTCAAGCAGACATTCTATCATCCCTGTTAAAGATCTTGTATACCTATCTAAGTGTCAGGGGAGGTCAGGGGAGGTATAGGAGAGGTGGTGAGAGGTTTGGGGGAACAATGCACAAAGGGGCCTTCCAGGGCTGCCTGTTCCAAGCTTTGGCTCCTACATAAACACTTGATGGGGCCTGCATCATTCCCGATTCCACCTGTTCATACTGCTGATTGGAGATCCTTAGCTCATGCCTGTGTATAGTGGAGGCTAGGCAGAAGGGAGAGGCTGGCTCAGGGAGACTGGGGTTGTTTAGCAGCATACCTCCTTCCGTGTTTCACTGCAGGTTGTGCGGGTATCCCCCCTTCTATGAAGAAACTGAGTCTAAGCTTTTTGAGAAGATCAAGGAGGGCTACTATGAATTTGAATCTCCATTCTGGGATGACATTTCTGAGTCAGGTAAGGCTACCAGGTGTGAAGGACAAGATGACAGGCTCAAGGCAGAGGGTGCCAAGAGAAAAGAGCTTAACAAAAGATGACAGTCCCGGTTCTTGAAAGTCCCTAGGGAAACTTATAGACCAGGCTGCCAGAGAAAGTGGAGAAATCTTCATCTGGCTCAAAGGCCAAATAAATTATTTGCATCCAATGTTTAGGCTTTTGTTTTCTGGAGGCAGAACCACAGCATACCTGGTAAAAGAGGGGAGGTGGTTTAGATAAGGGGCCAGGAGGGCAGCTTGAGGCACAGGGGAATGTTCCAGGCAGGAGCAGCAAAACCAAGGCCAAGTTTTTCCTTTCAGATATCAAGACTGAGAGTATGCAATGTCTGTATGTGGGAGAGAAGGCAATCATTACATGTTGTGGGGCCCATTAAGTGCAGATCAGCGCTGGGACAAGGCAGCATTCACATGTGTGCCCACGTGTGGGTGCCTGCGCCTGAATGGTGCAAACGAATACACTCGTGGCGTGCAGGCACGTTGGTGCCTCGTGATAAGAGATGTATCTGCAGTGCTGTGTGGGTGAGGCTACGTAGAGCCTCTCTTTGGTGGTTTATGGTGGGTTGTCGTTAGGTGGCTTGGATTTTTTTTTTTCTCTTTTAAGACTCTTAAAATTGCCTCTTTGGAAGATTAACTAAAGATGCATTCATTGCCACCCACCAGCCCGGAAGTGAATTTCCATCAGTCACGAAATCTGGCCCTTAGTTGTGTCTTTGATTGCTCCCCTTAGCCAAGGATTTTATTTGCCACTTGCTGGAGAAGGACCCGAATGAACGGTACACCTGTGAGAAGGCTTTGAGGCACCCCTGGTGAGTGAGGATGGGGTGGGGTCTGGACCCTAGCCTTTTGGTTCCCCAGATGCCATGATGACTCATTCACATGGTGTATCCCCAGAGTTTGCTTGCCCTGAGCTCTTTACTCTTGCAGCATCCAAGGAGCATAGACTTGTCTATCCGGTCCAGCTAGAGATGCAAACAGCATTTAATGAAGTGGGTTCTGACCCAGACGTGGGGGCTGCATCATCTTGTCAAGGGCAGGAGACAGACGCAACCAGCCTCTGTCATCAGTACTAGGATGCAACCCTCAGTACCAGCTGTGCAAGAGGCACCGGGAAGAGGCAGCTGTGCCCTGTCCTTAAGAGAATCATCCCAAGTGAGGCGATTTGTGAGGAATCACAAAGCAACCAATCAGTAAACTGAGTAAATAAAGTCTTGAAACACTTTCTTTTCTCATGCGACACCCCTGCTCAAGATTCCCAGTAGCTCCCCACTTCCTACCACAGCAAGCCTAGATTCCTGTGCCTTTTCAGGTTTTCCCCATTCTGGTCTGACCCTTTACCTCCAACTTTATTTCCCCCAATTCCCGACACACATCCTCTATTCCAGAGAGGTCTAAGAGTTGCATTTCTCTTCCTGCCCTCCCCTACCCCATATACCAAGCTCTTTCCAACCTACACCTGGGGTCATACTATTTTCACCACCTAGAATGTCCTGCCTCTTGCCTTGTATGTAGCATCCTTGAGGACCGGAGCAGTTTCTGCCCTTCCCTGATGCCCTGGCTCCTGCAAGCCAGGTACCCCTCCTCACTTCTCTTTATCAATCACACAGCTTACATGAATGACTCTAGTTCATGGCATGGAACAAGGCTCCACCCCTACACTGGAAAGCCCCAGGAATCAGTAGCAACATGTGTTGCTCCTCTGCGTCCCTAGTACCTAGAAAGTACTGCACACATGGCAAATGTCTAAGGAACACGTAGAAATGGATGATGAGGGCAAGGGCAGCCTGTATTGGGCAGCCTCCTTCAAGAAGGCTTCCAGGAGGAGATGGGTTCCAAGCAAAGCTTTGAGCTAACAGAGAGGGCAACCCAAGCACCCTCTGACACAGGAGCTGGTAAGCCTTGTTTGTGAAAAGCTGGAGAGTCAGTATCTTAGGCTTAGCCGGCCATATCATCTATACTGCAACTACTCAGTCTGCCCTTATCACCTGGAAGTAGCCATAGCTCATACCTGAATGAATGGGCACATCTGTGTCCTAGTGAGACCTATTTACAGAAATGAGCAATGGGTAGATTTGGCCCACGGGCCATAGTTTGCCGACCCTGCTGTAAAGCAAGATTTTGGTTTTGCCAAAGCATTGGCCCCCTAATGACCTGCCCAGGGGGACAGAGGAGCCTGGTTCCAGCCCATTCCTACGGTGGGTCACTCTTCTTCTGAGTTCACTCAACTAGGACCTGCATGCACAGCTCCCTGCCCAGCTCCTGGATGAGTCCCATAATCACCCACTAGCCAGGTGTCCCTTCTATATCTACAGGATCAATGGAAACACAGCCCTCCACCGGGACATCTACCCATCAGTCAGTCTCCAGATCCAGAAGAACTTTGCCAAGAGCAAGTGGAGGGTAGGTCGCCCTTTCTGGGGAGGTAGCAGGCTCTTCTGGGCCACTGGAGGCTGAGCTGGGGCAGGGCTGGTGGAGGGTCTGTCCTTGGGGCTTCCTAGCAGACGCTGGACCCTCTCTGAAATGAGAAGTGGGCAAGTTTCAAGAGGCCACAGGGCAAAGGGAAAGTTTGAGCCCTTCAGCCCTCTGGGAGCAGAGGTGGCCAGAGGCTGCTCTTGTGTCTCCTCAGCAAGCCTTCAATGCAGCAGCTGTGGTGCATCACATGAGGAAGCTGCACATGAACTTGCACAGCCCAGGCATCCACCCAGAGGTGGAGAACAGGCCTCCCGTCACTCAAGCCTCAGAAGCCTCCAGACCCAGCTCCTCTGAGCTCACCATCACCGAGGCACCTGCCCTGGACCAGAGTGGCGCACTTCCTGCCCTGCCCCGGCTGCCCTGCCAGCACGGCCCCCGGACCGCTGCGCCCGGTGGCAGGTCCCTCAACTGCCTGGTCAATGGCTCGCTCCGCATCAGCAGCAGCCTGGTGCCCATGCAGCAGGGGCCCCTGGCCGCTGGGCCCTGTGGCTGCTGTTCTAGTTGCCTGAGCATCGGGAGTAAAGAGAAGTCCTCTTACTGCTCCGAACCCACACTCCTCAAAAAAGCTAACAGAAAACAGTACGTATTTTCAGCCAAAGACAGAGGCCTAGCCCTGCTCAGGCAAAGGGACTGAAAGACACTGACCAGAAGGAGGAGGCTCTGCAGGGTGGGAAGAGCTCTGGATCAGGGGTCAAGGGAAGTGCCTCCAGTCCTGTCCCTCCCACTAGCTGTGTGGCTGCTGACAGATCAGGCAACGTGTCTGTTTCTGGTTTGCTCATCTGTAAAATCCTACCCACCTGCTCAGCCTGCCTCACAAAGGTACTTAAAAGTTTAGTGAAGCAACAGGAATTATAAATGCCTGCAGAAAACTGGGCACGTGTGAGTGATGCACACTAGATTCCTTGACTTTCCAGAACCGCTGTGTTGGGGGAGGAAGGGAGCTTCGTTGTCATCTTGGTCTTTTCGGCAAGGGCTTGTACTTTCCAAACCTGATAAAGGGAGGGCTGAGTGGATGCCATGGTCACGGGGAACCACCCAGATCTTCTTGCTTCCACAAATACTTCACAGCCTGCTGCCTCGTTTGCTTTCCAGGAACTACAAATCAGAGGTCATGGTGCCGGTTAAAGCCAGCGGCAGTTCCCACTGCCGGGCGGGGCAGACTGGAGTCTGTCTCATCATGTGATCCCCGGAGTCCACGCCTGTGTCAATTTTCAGGTGAGGCGACCAGAGGTGGGAGGGCCAGGGCGGGGGGCTCGGGGAGGGTTTCTGGCCCAGAAGGAGAGCCCCAGCACAGGGTCTGAACGAAGGGGTCTGAGGGGCACCGGAAGCGGCAGGCCCACCCCCACCCTGAACCCATTTCCTCTGCAGGAGAGTTGTCATCTCTTCTCTACCCTTCCAAACCCGGCATCCACCCTGCAGCAGGGAGGAAGGCGGAGCAAGCGGAGCAGGGCCTGGCAGGAGTGGTTTAGGGTTGGAAGCAGCACGCTGCCGCCCGGGGCAGACCCTCACGGAAGGCCCAGCAGTGAGCCCCGAGGCGCGGAGGCCTCGTTGAAGCCGTGGGCAGGAGGGCGGCATCCACCCGTTTCCAGGTCTCCCTGACCTGCCTGCTCTGCGCCCCCACACCCTGCGTGCCGTGGCTCCGTGCAGTGTACTAGGTAGCTCTTGCCCGGGTCTGTGTTGTTTGTGATGAAAAGCTTAATGGGCTGGCCAGGCTGTGTCACCTTCTCCAAGCAAAGCCATATGGAGCATCGACCCAGACTCCCGCTCAGCACACACTCGCTCCTGCCTGCCAGGCCTTTGTCCTCACGGCCAGAATGGGCTCATTAATGTAGTCGCTTGCCCATCTGCATGAATGACAGTCAGCTCTGTGGGCCACCCATGAGCTCTCAAGTTCCCATCCTTGGCTTTAGGATTAGCTCCAACCGGGTTGAGACGCGGCCAGCCTGCCCCCGGCTCACTTCTGAACCACCTCCCTCCCTGCCCCAGGCCCAAAGCAGCCCACAGCCTCCAAGATGAAAAAGAAAGAAATCAATGATTAGGTACTGCGAGGAATCCTTATCCTGACCAAGACGCCCCACCCACACCCAATGAAGTACAAATTGCAAGTTGACGGTTTTCATTTCAGATGGTTAATTCTCATCCTGCTTCTGCTCTTCTTTCTCTCCCTGGAAATCAGGGACCTTATTCTTGTCCCTCCCTAGTTTTCTTGTACCCCGTCCCCTCCAGCTTCATGCTCGGTGTTGTGCTCAATAAAACGGACATATTTTTCTCTACGAGGCTTCATGTGGTTCTTCTCAAAGTCAGCAGTGGCTCTGGGACTTCTGAGCCCGTGCCGGGTGGAGAGCCTGGGGTCTGGCAGGGGGGTGGCTGATGCAGACTGGGAGCATAAGGTATGCCAGGTACTTAATGACAGGAGTTTCGCGCACTGACTCATTGACACCTCAGAACGACCCCCGGGGTAGGGTCTGTGCGAGCCCGAGCCGTCAGGCTCCAGCATCCATTCTCCTAATGACTGTGGTAGACGATCATGAGTTTAAAACCCAGCTCTGCCGTGCCCTCTGCCTCATCTGTGACCTTGGGGGGGGTTACACAGCCTGTGCCTTAGTTTCCTCACTTGTCAAATGGGAACAGCACCTACATCACAAGATAATGCACATGATGTCTCTCGCGCAGTGCTCAATAAGGAATTAACGTGATTAATAATAGTCAAAAAGTTAATGTAGGTAAAACGCCTAGCACATTGCACGGGCTGTGGTTAGCACACTCACGTCACGCCTTTTCCACACACACGCAGTTACCCGTCATCCATTTGCAACTTCTCTTTGAGATCCCAAGAGACACAGGTTCTGCCTCTGGAGCTGGGTGAATTTGGACACAATACTTCCCTTCTCTGGATTTCTATTTCCTCATCTGTAAATGAGAAACTGGATCGCTGCTCAAAGATGAAAATACTTGGTGGTCTCTCAAGGAAGGGATCCATTGGGTCCTGGGGCAAAGGGGTCCAGTCACCCTAAGTTTGGGTGATGAGCAAGCTGTACTGAGCAAAGTGGGGCAGCCTATGCTTCCTACACCACCAGACCTTGGGCTTGAGCAGGGGAGCACCCAGGAACCCCAAGTGTGGGACAGACACAAGTGACAGAGATTTACTTAATGGGGAGGCCATTTTCTGAAACTCTTTCAACCTCCAGACTTCTTTCCAAAGATTTTTATTGGGCTTTTAGTCTGTACATCACTTTTTGTTAAGATTTTGGGTTCGTCCAGGACTCAGCCTCAGTGGAGGATGAAGGGCATGCACGCTGCCCAGTCAAGCTCCCTGCACTTGAGAGCTCCCAGTCACAAAGGCACGGCCCGCCTCCACCCTCTCTGTCTCTCAAATGTAATTTCCCATCATCTCTGGCTCAGCTGCAGCCCAGAACAATCTTAACAGCTGCACACCAGGGGTGGACCACGCTGTGCTTTCGGCTGTATAAAAGTCTCCTGGAGCTGGAAAGCATTCCAACCCAGTCTGTCCTCCAGAAGTAAAGAGGGCAGACGGGCAGGGCCAGGGGCTGGAAGCCGGCACGTCACTTACAGGTGGCATAGTACAGCACACGCCCATTGATGTGGTCGCGGATCTGTTCCACGTGCTTCTCCAGCCCCGTCAGGTCTGCCGAGCAAAGCTCGATGGCCTGGCTCCCCCGAAGCAGCTCCAACTCCATGTCTGAGGCAGATGGAACAGCAAGGGGAGGAGGCGCTGGTGAGATACCCAAAGACTCCAAACCCTTCTCTTCCCACCCGCTTGGCAGCAGCCACAGGTGAAATCACCTGTGGGGGAGCCTGGTCACTAAGGCAAGTTCTCTCCAGCCTCATGGCTCTCCACCCGTACCCTACTCTAGAGAAACCAGACCCAGAAATCCCCTAGTCTCCCCCTCTGCTCTAGGCAGAGCAGTTGTCCCAGACTCGTGAGGGAGGCCACTGGCACCGAGATTACCAACCTACCACTATTGGACTCAGACACTGCCATCCCACTAATGGTCCTCAAGTGGGCACCATGGCAAAAGCGCTGGCTGGGGGACCAGAATTCCTCCGCGCTTTCCCTCCCCCAAATACCACCCCAGATAAATCTAGTCCTCCCGCCAGGTCTGTTCCCCACGCCGCCACCAGATCCTGCGGAGGATGTGGAGGACAGCCTGTCCCTCCTGTCACTGTCACCCTAGGAAAGAGGCCCCTCTACCACACTCCTGAGAGCTGGCACCCAGCATCAGCCTGAACTTTTCCAGGAATAAGGAGGGGGTGCACTGCCTCACAGGGTTCCAACTTCAGGCAGCTCTAGCTGTTAAAAAAGGCTTCTCATGAAGCCAGAGTCTGACCACTTCTGGCCCCCAGCCGGTTGTCCCAGGTCTGTCTCCTAGGGGTGTGGGAATATATTTGCTCTGTCTCCCACATGGAAGTCGTTCAAATGTCTGAGGCCACGTCTTCTCAGATCAAATCTCCCTAGCTCCTTCACCCATTTTTCATCCGATACAATTATGGACACTTCTCTAACTCCCAGCCCTGCTCACCGTCCCTCTGATACGTGCAGGCTTTGTCAACATCCTTTCTGAGGATATAGTAGCCACCACTGAACAGCACCCGCCGGGTGAGATCCCACCAGGAGAGTGTAACAGGGGCATTACTGGGATGCCAGTCGGTCAGTGGGCACCCATATGGACCTTTGGGTTGACCAAGTATTGAAATTTTAGCAGCTGCTATTATTTTCCCTGGTCCCCTCCCCCAGGAGGCCCCTATGCATGATCTTCCCCCAAATCCTGCAATTAAAAGTAAATTCCTGAGGTGCCCGGGTGGCTCAGTAGGTTAAGCAACCGACTTAGGCTCAGTTCATAATCTAAAGGTTTGTGGGTTGGAGTGCCTGGGTGGCTCAGTCGGTTGAGCGTCCGACCTCAGCTCAGGTCATGATCTCACGGTCCGGTCCATGAGTTCAAGCCCTGCATCGGGCTCTGTGCTGACCGCTCAGAGCCTGGAGCCTGTTTCAGATTCTGTGTCTCCCTCTCTCTCTCTCTGACCCTCCCCCGTTCATGCTCTGTCTCTCTCTGTCTCAAAAATAAATAAATGTTAAAAAAAAAATTCAAAAATAAATAAATAAGTAAAAGTTTGTGGGTTGGAGCCCCGCATCGGGCTCTGTGTGGACAGCTCGGAGCCAGAGCCTGTTTCGGATTCTGTGTCTCCCTCTCTCTCGGCCCTTCCCCCACTCATGCTCTGTCTCTCTCTGTCTCTCAAAAATGTATAAATGTTAAAAAAAAAAAATTAAAAAAAAGCAAATTCCTACAGACAGGTAAATGCTTGTTCAATTGCTACCACCTGGCCTTTTCCGGTTGGTAGACGCGTGACCCACATCTGGAGGGCAGGACAGGTCTTGTGAGCATCTCTGCATTCCCCTCAGCCCCATCACTGTGCCTCATATTCCTAGGTGCTCAGGACTCCCTTCTGGTCTCACCCCCTTAGCACTGCTCGCTCTGACAAGGGTGGGCCTCAGAGACCTGGGGTTGGGACCAGCCTCCTGGGATGCCCGGGAGTCCGAGCCCCGGGACGGAACCCTCACCTTTCATCCTGTCCATCATCTCCATGGTCTCCCCAAATAACTCCTCTGCCTCTGTCTTGACGCTCAGGATCCGGCTTCCCTGCTCCCCCAGCATGGGGCTACGACCCAACTGGTCCTTCAATTCAGCATATTTTTGCTTTATTCTCTCAAATCCCTGAAAAACATGGAACAATCTCAGTGTCACCATCACCGCCACCCAAAGTTCTAAAGACCTTTGGCTAAAGCTCTCGATACCATCCAGATTAACACACGGGCACGAGGTGCCTCCTGACACTCCCCAGAGGGTTGCTTTTGCCCAGGAAAATCCCTAGGCCACAAACTATACCTTAAATTCCTTCTGTATTTCCCTCCCTCCACCTGAGCTCCTGTCATTTCCTGCCTAACTTCCTGCACGGTGCCAGGCACTTACTTGTCATGTAGCAGCATATTTGGCTGCCTGCCACTATACTGGGACCATGAGAGCCAAAGTTCCTGGTATGCTGGAGACCCAGACCAGAGGCTCTCTGATCACCTCTCTGACATAATTCCAACAATGGTGGGACCCAGGTTAGGCTAAGTCAAGACTGCCTCTCTGGGCTGGGTAGCCACAAAGGGGACAAGTTCTGGACTGGGTACCGACAGACCTGCTTTGTAGGTGAGCTTTGGGCCTGGACAAAGTTACCTGTCCATCTGTAAATGGGGAGGGACTGGGTAGATCATTCACAACACCCCTGACCAGCTCCCCAGAGGTGGCCTGAGGTAGAGTCCTGAAGCCCTTTCTGACGATTCTAGAATAACATGTTGGAATTGCTTTCGAACCCAGGGTCTCACAAAGCGTACAGAGTCCTCTCCTGCTCAGGACCCTCACCCTGGCTGTGCTGCCTAGGATGAAGTCTGTCTGCTCGTACCTCCTGGGCGCTCAGCGCCTGCTGTTCAGCGCCTTCCGCGAGCTGCTGGGCCTGAGCTGCCTGTGCCCGCTGCTGCCTAGCCTGCAGGCGGAGCGCCTCCATCCGTGCCCGAAAGTCACCCAGCTGCTCCGTCATGCCGGCCACCAGTCTTTCCGCTGGCCCCAGCACCTGCTGAACCTTTGTGGGGAAAGGGACACCTGGGTTGTGGTGGGTCTCACAAGCGGGGGCCTCGTCCTCCCCCTGCCCGACTCATCAGGCAGCGAAAACTCTCTCCAACCAGGATACCGCTGTTGTCCCCCTGCCGATCCTCTATCTGCCCCCTGACATCCGGGGCCCCTCCCTCTCCAGCTCAGCTGCCCCCCGCCCCCACTGCAGCCCAGAGCCCACCCCTGGCCATCTGCACCCAGCCACAGGACCAGAAAACCAAGGGCTCAAAGCTGGGCCCAGAGCTCATAGTCCTCCCTCTCTAGGTCCCCATCCAAGTCACTTTCCGGCACTTTCTAGCCCTTGTGCCTGAAACTGTCTCTTCATTCTCAAACACGGGGGGAGAAAGCCACACCACGTCACCTCAGCAACCCTTTCCTGGATAAGCCGAAGGGAGCGGCTGGTGCCTTGCATGGTGTCCTGAGCCTCCTGCAGTGCCACTGTGCCCTGACGCAGGTTCCCCACCACATCCTCCACCTGGCCCTCCACCACGTGGGCTCGGCTCCTGGGGACCGAGGAGCGGAGGAGAGCGGAGAGAGAAGGAGTGAGCAACAGTGAATGAATAGATGTGTGGCTCAACTCGTGCAGTAGTTCAAGAGAACATCCTTCCCAGCTAATCAGGGAAGATTAATTCAGTAGCTTTTCCATCCCAAGGCCCCGCCAAGCAGGCGTGGTATCAATGTGGGTGTTATGTCCGAGATACCCTTCGGGCACAGTTTCCAATGTGGAAGACAGGGTCACGTGAGTAAAGTTTCCCGTGGATGCTGTCTATCACCTCACCATCCCCCCCACCACGGCAAGCACCCCTCCTGTCCCCCAGCCCTCTGCACCCCTCTGATATGTACAGATTCTCTTCCCTCTTCCCGCAACCAAAGGAGTTGGGGAGCAAAGCAGCAGGCCAACCCTGGGCAGGGAGAAGCTCGGGGCCCAGGGCCATACCTGGCCTGCTCAGCCTCAGCCTGGAGCCTGCGAGCCCGAGCAATGTCCTTCTTGGTCTGCGACAGCACCAGGTCCACATTGGGTAGCCTGGCTGCGATGGCCTGGATCTCATTCATCTTCCGCAGGACGGTGGCGGAGTCTGTGGGCAGCCACAGGGCCAGCACGGCCTCACTGACCTCCTGGATGGTGGCTGCATCAGTGTCAGGGTCTGGAAGACAAGCCGTCCATCAGACCGGGGGAGTCTAGCCCCCCAAAATGAGAGGCTTCTCCGGGCCGAGCAGCACCATGGGAAGCGCCACGGTGACATCTCGGCCCCGGCCGCCCGCGGAGCTGCTGCGCCCTCTCAGGCGCACTCAGGTGCCCATTCTCGGTTTCCGGGAACGCTGCAGGAGGATGATTGTGGACACAGCTGTGGCAGCTCCGTGTCTGGTGCCACAGGAAGCTGCAGGCTGGAGAGAAGGAGGTGGTGCCAGCCAGCTGGTACTGCACAATGCCTGGAGCACAAACATAATCAGCCCTAGACTGGGGAGAGCGGCCAGCAACTGGAACTGACTGCTTCCTTGGCAGTGAGACCCCTTCCACGCGCCCCTCCTCAGGCCAGAGTACTCATTTTTGCAAAGGCAGAGAAAGATTGCCAGGTCTTTGCTCAAATGTCACCTTCTCGGGGAGGCCGCCCCGGCCATCCGATCTAGAGTTGCAACCTTCACCTGTGCCAATGCCCCTTATCCTCCTCTGCTTTATCTTTCTCCCTAGCATCTATTGCCTCCCACATGCCGAACCCTTAACTCATGTCTCTGGTTTTCTGTCTGTTACCCCACTAGAAGCTCCACGATGGCGGTGCCTGGGCGTCATCCGTATCCCTGGCCCCTGCCGTGGTGCCTGGCCCCTGGAGGCACTTGGTGCTTGCAGAGTGAATGAATGACTAAAGGCCCTCCAGACCCAGGCCTCTCCTTTACTATTCAAGCAAACTGGGACAAGTCAAATGGCTTCTCTAAGCTCAGTTTCCAGATCTGTGAAATGGAAATAAGGATCCTCAACCCGAAGGGACGAAATGAAACACTCAATCAGCAAGGGTCTTACAACCAACTCTGAGTCAGAGAATAAGGTCAGACGTAGAAGTACTATCTCCTCCCTATGTCTCCCTTTCACTTGTACACATTCCAGGTACAGATGTGGTAGGAGAGGGGGCACCTGCCCACCCAGATGCTTTGTCCTGGGGCTTGGGGCCAGAATGTGGGCGACTGAGACCGCAAATCAAATCAGACTCAGTCCCTATCCTTACAGAGCTCAAAGCCTAGTGGGACAGACAAACACATAACAAGGAAGGCCAGCCTGAGTGATGAGGTTGAGCACAGGGAGCTCAGACAGCCACTGGAGGAGCGCCTAACCACATCTGATGGGTCCGGTGAGGGGGTGGTCAGGGGGGCTCCTGGAGAATGGGCCATCTAAAGGATTCTTATAGGGGGAGTAGGAATGAGCCAGGTCAAGAGAGGTGGGACAAGGGAGCAATCCAGGAAGAAAAATATTAACAAAACTGTGTGTGTGTGTGTGTGTGTGTGTGTGTGTGTGTGTGCGTGTTTAACAGTACAGCAACCTACAGTGTGGACAACAGAATGAGAAGAATCCCACCCACATTCCCTCCAAGCTGGATGAGCTCTTAGGCAGGTTACTTAACCTCCCTGTGCCTGGAGTCCCCTGCTACAAAGTGGTAGGCAGTCACGATTAAATAATGCAACACCTATGAGGCACTTAGACCAGTGCCAGGCACTTAGTAAGAACTCAGTAAGCCAGAGCTATTTTTGTTAATTCCATTTGAAAACCTGGGAAAGACCACGGGTCGTCCTTCCTCCAGGGCCCTTCCACACACCCAACGCACCAACCCTGTGCGCAGCAGCCACTGGTACCTGCACCTCCTACACAGTAGTCTAGAGGCCAAAACCCATTCCCATGGGCACTGTGAGAACTGTCCTGGGCCCTTCACAGGTGCAGGCTTTCCCACATCCTGCACCTTCTCCTTGCCCTTGATCCTGTCAAAGGACTTGACCTGAGGCACACGTATAACATAGAAAACAAAAGGGTCCCCTCAGCCCAGTGACTCCCTGCTTGTTCATGTGAGGCCAGGCTACACCCCAAAGAGAGACTTCCTACCCCCTAGCCAGGGCTGACACCATTCAGCCTTCACTGGGCTTGGCTTGGGGGAAGATCTTATCTATGAGTCTGAACCCCAAATTTTGGCCTGCCCCTTTGTCCAGGTTTCTTTTTTTTTTAATGTTTATTTATTTTTGAGAGAGACAAAGAGAGTGTGAGCAGGGGAGGGGCAGAAAGAGAGGGAGACAGAGGATCTGAAGCAGGTTCTGTGCTGAGAGCAGAGAGCCAGGGGCTCAAACTCATGAACCATGAGATCACGATCTGAGCTGAAGTCGGAGGCTAGTTACTGACTGAGCCACCCAGGCACCCCTGTCCATGTTTCTTGAGCACCATTTCCCTACAACCACTCTCTCCCATTCTGGGGTTCCCTGGGAGTCTGACTCCAGCCTGACCTCAGGCAAGCCATGGCTCCCAACAGATCCTCCCTGCCTCTCTCCAACCTGCCTGTTTGGAGCAAAGGCATTGCAAGAGTAGCACGAAGAGGCCTGTTGTAACACCAAGCCCTCAGCTCATATTAACTGGGCTCCCAGCCAAGCAAATTCCCTGGCAGGGAACAGAACTCTAATAATATCAACTCATATTCCTGAGGCAACTTTAATTTTTCAAAGCACACTTTACATCAGTTACTAGATCCCCAGAATCAACGTGAAATACTACCATCCCAGCTCGCAGAAGTGAAAGGTGAGGCAAAGAGAAAAGCAACCTGCTCAAAGTCACAGGTTTCCTGAGTGCTATCCAGGAATCTTTCCACTCCCAGGGCACCAACAGAGGGGATCTGGTTCATTTATTCATTCAACCGACACCGGGTGCTTTTCTGTGTCTGGCCTCATGCGGGGCGCCAGTGACACAGTGAATAAGACAGGCAGCCGTCCCTGCCCTCCTGCAGTTTAGAGTCTAGTGGACAGACAGACAGTGCATCCCGAGACGAATGAATTCAACAACCACAGGCTCAGAGCAAAGCAATGAAGGTCAGACGCTGGGAGCGGTGGTGGGGGTTGGGGGGATTGGGAGTGGGTACCAGATGGGGTGGTCAGGAAAGCGCCTCTAGGGAGATGATATTTAAATTGAGACCATAAGGAATAGAATCAACAGCCTTGGAAAGAGCATTCCAGGCAGAGAAAGAGCAAGTATAAGTCTCTGAGGTGGATAAGAGCCAGCCTGTTCAAGGATGGGCAGTGAGCAAAGCAGTGAAGACACGGCCACACCCGGGAGGTGAGCAGAGGCCACAGTAACTCCAAGAATGAGGGGAAGCCAGTGAGGGATTTGAAGCATTTTTTCAAAGATGTTTTAGGTTGTTCTGTTGAGAGTGAACTGTAAGGGAGCAGGGGTGGGGGAGGGAGAATAAGTGAAGGGCTGTGGCAGCCATCCAGGCGAGTGGTGGGCACCTGGCCCAGGTGGCCTGGAGGCCAGGGAAGGAGGCAGCCAGCTGCTGTGTCAGACACAGGGAATGGAGGGTCTAGGGCCCTCTCAGGCCGAAGGAGAGAAAGGGCCAGGCTCACCTGACAGGAAGTCTCGGACCTGCTGGATGAGGCGTCGTGTGCGTCTGACATCTTCCTCCATCTGGGAGCGGCTGGCGCTCACCTGGGTCTCCAGGCGCTGAGCATCTGACTGCACCTTCGAGGCGGCCTCCTCTGCTGCCCTGATCTACCAACACACGCTATGGGTCAGCAGCGATCAAGGCCCCAGGAGAGCCTCGCAGCAGCCCTCAGGGATTCTGTGGACACCCGCTACCCTATATCTACCAGGGAAACATTTGTTGCTAACCTAGTTTGGCTCTGGAAAAAATGATGTAGAGTCAGGTAGAAAACACAACACAACAAAACAAAACCCTCAGAACATTGGCCCCAAACTCTACGTCTCTCTTGCTGTGGGGCCTCAGACAAGTCACCTAACATCCCTGGGCTTTTGTCTCCTGGCTGTGAAATAAAAACTGACCTGCCCCAGGGATCCCATCCCCTTAGCCTTTCTCTACATGTGCCCACCCCACCTTGGCTGCACCCACCATCTGCCTGGTCTGCTGGAGCTGGGTGTTGAAACCCTGCAGCTGCCTGGCCACCTGGCCCGCAGTCCAGAAGGCCCCACCCGCTTTGGGGAGGACGCCTCTGCAGTGAGAGCCACATGCCGTGCCATTGTCTCGGGGACACAGCTCTCCAGGGCACACTCCTGGGGTACAGGCCGTCTGCCTGGAGCCCCCACAGAGCTGTGGAGAGAAGGAGATGTCAAAGAGGGTACCCAAGGCTCTTCAACAACCACCCCTGTCCCACACCCAAGAAACAAACCGCCAGACATCTCCATAGCAACCAGGCACCAGCAACTTGTTTCCTTGGCAACCACTGAGCACACCGTGAGGGGCCAAAGATTGGGATGGGTGGGGGAGTAGGGTAGGGTCACAGTGCCCTCGTAGGAAAAGTATGGCAGCAGTTGGCGTGTGACAGACTGAAGCAGGGAGATCCAAGAAGTGGGGCTCCATGCCATGAGTCACCTTGTTGATGGTGGGCATCAGATCAGGCAAGGAAGCCATCCCCAGGCTCAGAGCTGCGAGCTGGGGACCTCCGGCTCCCGTTCCTCCTCCCACCTGCCCCTCCAGCCTCTCTGCCTCTCTCCGGCTGTCCCTGAGCTGGAGGAGCAGGTGGAAGCCGTCGGAGACCTGCTGAGCAGCCTGGGAGGACCGCTGGTAGGCTGCAGTCAGCACCCGGAAGGCCCCTGTGGGAAGACGAGGGGAGAACTGAGCCGCCGCTGGCCCTGGAGGCCGGGAGACGGAGGGCAAGCAAGAGCGGAGCCCAGGTGCGGTGTGGCGTGGCCACGCATACCTAAAGGATCCGTACTGCTTATCCTTTCAAACTGTTCCTTCTTGCTCTGATATATAATGAGCAGGCGATTGAAGCTTCTGTCCAGATTCTCCAGGTCTCCCGGGAGGGACAAGGTCTCCTCCTCTAGGGCCAGATCAGGCTGCAGGCCCTGGAGAGTCCGCCTGAGATGGGAGAAGAGCTTTGGCTAAGATACGGGAAGGAGGCTGCCTCCCCAGAACCCAGCAGCCCCTCGGAGAAACCTCTCTGAGTCAGGAAAAGGCAGGCTCTGCAGGCCACCTGCAGGAGCTGAGGAGGATCTGCTGACCAGCACCCAACCCCACCCCCACCCCCTGTCCCTCCCTCCGCAGGCAGATCGCAGGAACCTCTCCTTCCCTGACCTATTGTTAGCTAACCTTCCCACCAGGCCTGTGCCACCTGCCAGGCAGGCTCTGAGGCACCCCTAACCGTTTCTCCTCGGCTAAGCTGCAGGCTGACTATTACACCAGCCTGTACCACCTGTATTGCCTGCTTGCTGGGCTCCCAAGTCTCTTCTCTACAGACCATGCCTCCCATGAGCACCCATAGCCGCGACCCACTGGTCATCTCCACCCAAAGGGGGTTAGGATCCATCAGCCCTGGCGCACAACCATTGAGTTTTCAGAGATTCCTCTTTCCCCATCTCCTTGGCTGGTCTACCAACCACAAACGCCCCCCCCCCCCCCCCCCCCCCCCCCCCCCCCCCGCCCCGACCCCCGCAAGCTTTGCATCCTTCACCTACAGGCTTTGCTCTGGCATAGAGCATCTTTCCACAGGACACCCTTCCATACCTGCATTTCCAGTCTACCAAATACCTATGGACTCACTACTGAATTTTGAGACTTAGGTCAATCACACACCTGGATGGCTCTGGGCACCGAGAAAGTCAACTAGTGCTTGGGGAATGCAAACTAATTATAGAAACTTCCAGAACTGAACCTTACAAGAAGACACCCCTGCTGGTAGGAAGGAGGTGTGGGTGGGACCGCTCCCATTCCAAAGGCAAACACAAGTTATTTTTAGAGCCCCTGCCTCTCCAATGCCCTGCACCAGGGTGACTAATCCAGAGCTGACTCTCTCCCACAGGCAGCACCGGGCACTTGAAAGAGCCCTGGGGCTCTTGCCTGCACTCTGAGTCCCAGCTCTGCCCCTCAGTGGCCACGTGACTCTGTCACATCCCCTATCTGTGCCTGTTTCCCCATCTGCAAAATGCAAGTAATAACACCCACCACCCCAACCTCATAGGAGTGTTGCAACAGTTCAAAAAAGGAGCATATGTGAAAATGCTCTGTAAACTGTAAAGGGCTGTACAGTGGAAAGAAGGACCAGTGTGTGCCACTTATGTGAACCCGTGTGATGTAATTCCTCCAAGTGTTTGGCAGGGAAAGGGAAATTACCTGATGGAGAAAATGGCATTGGCCACCTGGGACACCTCCTGCTCGGTGACCGAGGCACTGGCGAGAATTGCTTGGATCTGCTCCATCTTGCTCTTTGCACCCATGATCCGGGCAGTCAGGCCAGGATCCTCCAGACCCAGCCCTGGCCACAGGCTGGCAGTGGCATTGCGCAGGCTGCTGAGGCGCAAAGCCTGCCCCCGGAGGTCAGCATCGTAGCTCTGGAAGCAAGGGTGGCAGGCCACACACACTGGATAGCGGTCACAGTAACCTCGTTGGCATTGGTCACAGCGGGGTCCGGTCAAGCCAGGGCGGCAGAGGCAGCGGCCCGAGGCCTTGTCACAGCCTGGGCCCTCTGTTCCCCGGAAGTCACAGTCACAGGCTAAGGCGGGGAAAAAATGATGGTCAAGGTCGGGGGGTCAGGAAGATAAAGGCACCTTGTGGGGAGAGCCTGAAGCGGAGGCCTATCTTCAGGGCCTGTCTACGTGGCTTAGAATAATAGACCGCCAAGGCCAAAATAAAATCAGGGCAATGCAAGCAACGAAAGCAAGCCCTTAATTTAGCACCTACTGTGCGCCAGGCACAGCTCTAAGTCAGACACTCACCCACTCACACATGAACTCGCTTTAACTTCGCAGCCACTCTGTGATAGAGTTAACCTCCCTTATTTTCCCATTTGTAGAGATGAAGCAACAAGACACAGAGCTGTTAAGTACAATGTGCCCCCAGGAAACTGAGGCCTTGGCGAAAACCACCCACACCAAGTCACTCGGCAGGACAGAGGCCACGCTGAGACCAGAGTTGGGTCTGGGCACTCCAAGTCCCATGCTCTTGTGGCTACTTGTCAAACTGACTCTAGGGAAATTTAGACCTTTCCCTCAAGACTCACTTTCTCCATCTAGGAGGGAAACCCTCCCCTTCCTGCCTCTGCCCCGGAGAAGGCTTCTGGGAAATGCTTTCTCGGGGAAGTGGGGGGCAAAGCAACCCTCCTGTCGTGGAGACGGGGGCGGCCTGACGTCAGCCGGCCCTGGGGTTGGGAGGCTAAGTGGGCTGGCTGGCTGGAGCAGTTGTGGGGAACCTGTGCTCTCACAGAGCTGCCAGGACCCACACCACCTGTCCAGTATGAGATGTCCTCCCCTACCACAGACCCACCCACCGGCCCTCCACCAGGAGCCCGCCCAAGCGCCCCCCACCCCCACCCCCGCTCCCATTGCCTCAGCATCGCGCCTCTCAGGAAGCACCCACCACGGCATCCTGTGCCTGTGTCTCCATAGGTCCGGTCAGGACACTGGCGGAGGGCTGCAGCGTCGCAGGTCAGGCCACCGAACCCTTCTCGACAGGGGCACTGCCCTGTGAACTGTGAGGGAGAGCATTGTGAGGGGACCTCCCTCGCAGGCCTGGCCTTGCCCTGGAATCGGGGGCCATGTGCCAGATCCCTGGTCAGCACACAGAGCCCGGGACTGCCTACAGAGCGAGTGTGCCCCCCAAAACAATGGCTCCCATTCAAAGACAAGCTCTGAAGGCAAGGCCCCCGAACTGCCCTACAGAAGGTCTGACGAATCTGGCATTGCAGAAGCCTCAGAGTCACAGAGGGAGAGAGGATGGGGACAGAACCAGACCAGTCTGACTTCAGAAAGACCAGAAGGGCAGCGCTGGGGGGAGACAGAGGTTGGTGGGCAAGACCCCTTTCCTCCTCGTACCTGGTTGCACTGGGGGCTGAGGGAGTTGTGAGGGTCACAGGCACATGGCTCACAGCCCCGACCGCTGGCCAGCTTCCAGTGATAGGGAGCGCACTGGTCACATTTGGGGCCCACCACGTGGGGCAGACACAGGCAGTGCCCGCTCTCCTCATCACACGGCATGTCCCGACGAGACCCCAGGATGTTGCAGTCACAGCCTGCAGGAGGGAGGTGAACTGAGCTCACAAGACAACCAAAATGCACCCCTAGGGGACACACATCAGGGAGACAACCCAACCCGGGAAAAGAACCAGGCAGCGTCGTTCTTTCCAGAGAACCTGCCTGCCTGACTCACGAGGCCACTGCACTTTCCTCCCTGGCACCTGGCAGCTTGGCCACCCACCCTCCAACTCCCTCGGGCCGACTCAGTCCCACCTTCTAACCTGGGCCTGTGCTGCCACCTGCTGGAGGCCCATGGCACAGCATCCGGCACACACCACAGAGAGGCACTCACGACTCTGGTGGCCGGTGCAATCTTCCCCGTGATATCCCAGATTGGGTCCCCCTACTCACGGTGGCAGCCCTGTGGGTTAGCATAGGTGAGTCCTGTAAATCCCGGCTTGCACAGGTCACAGCGCTCCCCCTGCACATGCTCCTTGCACACGCACTGCCCAGTCACTGGGTCGCAGGGAACGCCCGGCACTGCCCCATCGGGATCACACTCGCAGGCTGAGAGACAGAAGCAGCCACCACAGCAAGAAGAAAGAAGAAAAGCAGAAAGTTCAGAGCAGACTGTAGAAGCCAGACTGCCTGGTTCAAACCTTTATTCCAGCACGTACTGGCTTACAACCTTACAACCTTAGTCAAGTTACTTGAGTCCCCTGTGCCTCAGTTTCCCCATCTGTAAAATGGGGATAATTATACAACGCTCATGGGTTTCCTGTGAGAAACAACTGAGTAAATGAAAGGCGGGTAGAACAGCGCTTGGCGCACGTTAAGTACTATAGAAGTTTTTGTTGTCGTTGTTTGCCGAACGACTACTATATGCCAAGCGCTGAGCTGTGCACGCATGCATGTTGCCTTATGAAATCCTCAGGATAACCCTGAGGTTACTCAAGGCCACACAGCAAGCAACTGCAGGAAACAGAAGTCAACTCTTTCCATAAATAATATCAACAGGAAGTGAACTAGCTTTCTTCAACTCCCACACCTAGGCCTCTCGGCAAGCCTTTCAGAATGCAGATTCTTCCTTCGTCTAAAAAGTCTGGTGATTAACCCCTCCTGATTCAGATTGCTTCAGTCCATTTTGCTCTCTCTCATGTACAAACTCACTGGCCCCTGTGAACGTGCTAAGTCACTCCTGGGAGTTCGGTGCATATGCTCATTCACCAAACATTTCCTCAGCACCAGCCATGTGCCTGTCATTGCAGGAGGGCCCAAGGATATGAGACACAACCTTTGCCATGGAGGAGTTCTCGATATTGGGGGACATGGAAAAACATGGAGCAAACCTCAATACAACATGGTAAAGGCAATAGCATGTATACGGACGAAGTACTTATTCTGCCTTTTCCAGGTATGATTTACATTGCCAAACAGTGTGTGTGTTTCTCGACAGCAGGAACTATATCTTATATTTACTTTTGTCCCTCCTGTGTCCAAAATAAGGGCTACGTAGGGGCGCCTGGGTGGCTCAGTTGGTTAAGCATCTGACTTCCACTCAGGTCATGATCTCGCAGTTTGTGAGTTCGAGCCCTGCATCGAGCTGTGTACTGACAGCTCGGAGCCTAGAGCTGCTTCACATTCTGTGTCTCCCTCTCTCTGCCCCTCCCCTGTTCACGCTCTGTCCCTCTCTCTCAAAAATAAATGAATATTAAACAATTTTTTTTTAATTAAACAAAATCAGGGCTACATCATGATTGATTGACTGATGGATTGATGGTCCAGAGAGGTAAAGTGATTTGCTTAGATGTGCCCAGCTAAGTTAAAACAACTCCCCACAAGTTCTGGCAAACAACGAAGTCTTCACGCTTCCTGAGGGCTTGTGTGTCCCCAGGGACACGTGCTCCGTGGTACCCAGAGAGGATGGGGAGTAATAGGCAGATGATACGCTAGGTCCCCAGAGCCCCTACTCACGGATACAGGTCTCTTGAATGGGAGCTCCAGGACGCCGGTTGCGGAAATAGTGCAGCTGACACCGCTCACAGTTCTTGCCCTCGGTGTGGTCCCGGCAGTGGTCACACACACCTCCGTGCACCCCCTGGCTAGCGGCGAACACAGTTGGGTCGAAGTGACAGGTCTCAGAGTGCCCGTTGCAGTCGCATGCTGCAAAAGGACATTCCCAGGGCTGACCGTAGGCCAGCACCACCACCATCCACAAAGCATATGCCATGCTAATGCACTAGCATCTCTTGCAACTCTGCAAGATGTTCAGGTTCAGGAAATGGGGAAACTGAGGCCCGAGGAGCCTTGTGTGACTTATTTAAGGTTATATGGCCAGTAAGAAAGCAGAGCAGGGTAAGAATTCAGGCCTCTTAACTCCCAATGTGGAGACTCACCTGAGAATAATGTCTGCGTTGGGCCAGAGAGAGACCTTTGAATGGTCCACCC